GTTTAAAGAATCAAGTTTATGTTCACAAGTTGACACCTTTCAGAGCAGTTACTCCCTAATTCTTTTCACCCAACTTTTCCAATGGAAGTGACTCTGTCTTTTCTTGATACAAATGAGGGTTAGGCTCTGAATCTGTGTGGATCAGGTGCTGATCTAGGGTTTCTGGGTATAATCAATCATTTCCTATCTTACAACCTTTACATTTCAGTCTCAAAACACTAATTTGCGTTAAGATAGCAGACAAGTTGCTTTGAGTTCTCTTAATTGGAGAAGTAGACCATGATTGAGAGGTGCCGTGGAGATTGGAGTAGAATTTGATCATATCTGGGTCATCCTTAAGATAAAATATACCAGTTTTCTTATGCAGTGAATCAGGCTACATACCAGAGCATGCATGTGTTTGTGTTAAGTTGCTGCGGTCATGTCCGACTCTTTGTGACCCTGTGAACTGTAGCCTATCAAGCTTCTCTGTCCATAGGATTCTCTAGTCCAGAGTACTGGAGGGTTGCTATTTCCTACTCCCAGGGGATCTATCCAACCCGAGATGGAACCTGGGTCTCTCATGTCCCCCTGCAGTGGCAGGCGGGTTCTTTACCACTAGCGTCACATAAAAAGCCCTTCCATATCAGAGCATGCCTAAATGGTATTCTCCGTCATTCACCAGTCTGAAAGGTGGACTGCTGTTCATTTCTCCACACTTCTATCTTCAACCCCACTCTGTTTTGTTTTTTTCTGAGGGAGTTTCTAAAGAGAAAGATTCTGTGAATTTTTCTACAAAGAAAGAAACAACTGCATTAGAGAGAATGCACTATTACAGAAAATAATCATTTGTATATTTAGCAAATATTTATTTAACTAACCAAGCATGGTGGTTAAGAACACAGACTCTATAACTAGACTACTTGGGTTAAAGAGCCAGATTCACTGTGTGAGCTTAAGCAAGTTATTTAATCTAAATACATCAATTGCATCATCTGTAAAATGGACACAGTATAAACACCCTGAAGTTTTGTGAGATTAAAAACATGAATGCGTGTAAAGTGTTTGACATATAGTGAGAACTCAAATGTTAAATATCATTATTAGATGCTGTCATATTTTAGGAAACTGCTAACTTACTAGGAGGAAAACATTCTTTCCTAGCAAAATAAAAGATAAAAGTGATAATCTTTATGGAAATGATGGCTAGCACACATTTCTGGGAGAAATACACTTGTATGTGCAAGTATGTGTGCTATTTTAGTTACCTGACAAAATATTTCAGGTAGATGATTATTTCATATCACTGTGCCCTCTTATTTTAAGAGGAAGTGACTGATCACAATATTTAACCAACCTCCCTGATCTCTGTCTGCTGGTACTCTGTCGGTCATGACTGAACTGATGGTATGAAGATCAAAATCCAGAATTATGAACCCAGAAAGTAAAGATATTTCTTTTAGACTTGGCTATTTTGGGTTAAACTTCAAGTCAATAATATAGACAACCCAGTGTGGGCTGGTACTCAACCATGATTTAATTGTATCTATTCATTACCCCTTCTTTCACTAATTATACAAAAAAAACAAATAACAAAACAACATGGAAAGATAGGGTTGGGGAAGAAATAAGTCTATGATACTAGAATCCTACTGTTTCTAGCATGCATTATCTAATGTCTCAAGCCAGCTACACAATTTATGTTAAAGATCTGGGTCTGCCTAACAGAGATTTAACTTTGTATAGCTTTCACTTGAGAAATTGTCATTAGTAATTCATAGTCTATTCTGTTGGATTTGTTGTGATTAAATTTATCCAACTTTATATTCTGTTTTTAGAATATTTTTGGTAATATTAATGTAAAAAGTATGATAATATATCATCCCATATAAGGATTATAATTGATTTCTTAAAATTATACACTATATTTAAAATATATTTTTTATGATTCTTAATTGTTGGGTGGAAAATATGTTATATGTGAAGGTTAAAAAAATCCTGTTTGCATTTTTCCTTCATTTGAGTCATACATTTCAACTATAAAGTATGTAATAGTGTCTGCTTTAGCCCCCCAAAAAAAAAGTCCCACCTTTTGGAGCTATAAAATATACAGAATTGAAAGCTGGCACCTAATATATTTTCATTAGGTACAGATGTTCAATGTAAAATTCCTCAAATATTCTTAAAAAGCAGGATAACAAAAATTTTTTCAGGTATAATTCAGAAAAAGTAAACATCATACCTTTTGGTAAATTGCTAATGACTTTTTAATGAATGTCATTTTTCTTTTTATGACTTAGAAGTTCTTTTAAATTTACTGTACCCTTGTCACTTAACATTATAATAGAATCTTTAAGTTTAGGTAAAGTTTACCTTCTTTACCTTGACATACTAAAAAAAATATTTCTAGTATTTATTTTTTATGCTTGTTTGTAAAATAACTTTCTTATTATTGTTAGAAAATGCAATCCAATATGGTGAATATATAATAAAAATTCTGCATTGCTGGCTTTTTGTATCTTGAGACTACTACTTTAATTCCTTAATTGAGTTGAACTGCATACCATTTTGAAATAGTAATAGTTCTGTATAGACTATCTCTGTGGTGAGTACTTAGAGCTACTGATGTTTTGCCACCTGCAGAAATCATTACCCTCACTGAGGGCTAAAATGTGAACTATCCAGTAGGGAAAAAAGAGCATAAAAAAAGTAATTCTTTTTCCTCTTTCACCTGCCCTTCCCCCCCAAACTATAAAAAAAAAAAAAATCATTTAAAACAGATGTTTCTTTAAGACCAAATAAATTAGATATTGTGAGTTTAACTTTAAGCCAGTAGTTTATCTCTTGTTCCAGTTGGTTTATATTTATCTTAAGTGTTCGCAGAATTGAGCTACATACATTTTTCTCAAGATAAAATGTAATCCTATGACTCTCTGTGTAAAACTTTAAAATACCTCCTTTTTATTTTTTTGCTTTAACTTAACTAATTCTCACAAAAATAATACCCAACACTTTCTCAGAGTTTTACAAGAGCTTGTTTCTTCATTTGTTAATTCACACGCCCACTGAACAAATTTACTAGGTGCATTCTATGTAAGTAACATTCTGCTTACCTCTCTAGGAACACACATACAAAATGATATATACCTCCAAAGGTTTTTAATGTGCTGATGATGACAGTAACTATGCAAAACATTTCAGTCATAAAGGAAGTTTGATGAGTGTCAGACTGAGTGATGCTCATGACTGTGAACATATAGAAAGGCGATCAGTTGTATGCTTGGAGAATCTCTCTGGATTTCTGATTAAAAGTAGAATTTGGCTAGGCAGATAAAAGATAAGGGGGTGTTGTAGGCAGGGGCCATGCCTAGAACAAAGGCATCAGAGTGGATGTGGCAAGGTCTGCTAATGGACCTGGGAAGGCAGGGTGCAGACCAGGAGCGGGGTGTAAGGAAGTTCACATAGAAAGGTGGACTAGCAACATATGAGAAAACTTGATTTACTGGATTAAAGTGTATATTTTATCTTTTAGGTAGAAGAGAAGATTAGGGACTGTGCCACAAAGATGAAGATTGACTCAGTGAGGGTTGTGTTTAGCAATATTAACTTTGGTGGTGATTATATGTTCTGGAGGCAGAAGTTGAGGATATGAAGACTAGTCAGTGCTCTTGTTGATAGAGTTTAGGTATCAGATTATGAATTTTTTAAATTAATATTATGGTTCTAGAAACAGAAAGAAACATGTATTCTGAGAATTACAAAACTGGGGAAAGGAAGGCACTTTGGGAAGGAAGTTTTGAGGAACATTTAAGAAAGAAATTAATGGTTTTATAGAGCTGAGGGGATGAAGCAATCAGGAGAGATAAAGAATACAGTTTCTTTGGGGGGGGGTGACAAAAATGTACTAACATTGACTGTGATGGTAATTGTACAGTTCTATGAATATAGTAAAATTCATTGCATTATGTACTTTAAATGTGTGAGTTATAAGATATGTGAATCATGTCCCAATAAAGCTGTTACAAAGTGAAAGAAAAACAGAAGAAAGAAAATATACTTTGGGAGCATTTAAGAAAGAAGGAAAATAACTTTTACCCAGTGAAATGTCAGGGATGGATAACTGTGAGTCATGTTCGTTAAGAGTGGTAATTGAAGCTATGGATGTTTGTGAAGAGGCGAAAAAGCAGAGATATGAACCTAATAATTCCATACTTCAAGCACTGGGTCAGTCAGGAAGGATAGTGTTTTCTTATAGAGAGTTTACTACTTGCGTTAACTTTACCTGTATTATTGTGTTGGCTTAAAAAATGGACAAAGTGAGGGTTGTGAGTTGAGTTTTCTTTGGGGCAAGATGAGAACTGGGGCTGAGAAGACAGCACCTCAGACAGCTCTGAGAGACCGCTCCAAAGCAGGAAGGAAAGGTCAGTACATATGTGATTTTGGTGAAAGGGAAATACATGCAATCGAGTACATATTTTTCCAGGTTTCTGCTAGCCTCATGAAACTTTTTGATGGTTATGAGAAGCAGTGGCTACTGTGAAGGATTTTAGTGTTTTTCTAGATATGAGGGGGTTTCCCTGGTGGCTCAGAGGGTAAACAATCTGCCTGTAATGTGGGAGACATGGGTTCGTTCCCTGGGTTGGGAAGATCCCCCGGAGAAGGCAATGGCAACCCTCTCCAGTATTCTTGCCTGGAGAATCCCATGGATGGAGGAGCCTGGTAGGCTACAGTTCACGGGGTCGCAAAGAGTCGGACACAGTTGAGCGACTTCACTTTCCTTTCCTAGATATGAGGAGATAAAAGAATTGGGCTCATAAAGAGATCAAATTGACACCAAAGGAAAACATAAAATTCCAAAGAAGCCATTTTTTTTTTTTTTCAGTGATCTCCTATCCCAGATATGTAACTCAGCTGGAAATGGAATTTTGGTGATTAAAACTGCATCAAATATGTTGGCGTGAATGTCACATTTGGGTTGGGGAATGGTTGCGCTTTTATAAGACTTCTTTTTGTTATTGCAGGGAAGGAGATTACGGCAGAGACTTTTATGGAGAAGTTGGATAATGGTGCCCTGCTCTGTCAACTTGCAGAAACTGTGCAGGAGAAATTTAAAGAGAGCATGGATGCTGCCAGGCCCACCAAGGTAAAAGATCCTAAGGCAGAATCACTCACTGTCAGATGGTGGATTGCATTTGTAATAACTTGCAAATTGAGCTTAATTGGAGGACTTTGTTGTGAATGGATGCATTAATTCCTCTATTTACAACAAAACATGGAGGGTGCTTTCTAATTAGGTAACCTGTTATTTGCACTGTAATTACAGATGATCCTTTTGGTTAAGTTTAATTAAATAGAAGGTTATGGAAATTGATGGCATTAATAGGAAACAAATACTGTATATAAACTGATTGAATCTGATGTATTGATTTAAAATATAGCAGAGGAATAATATGTCATCAGGCAATGAACAAAATCTGGGTAAGAAAGACATACTGAATAGGTCTTTGTTTCCAAATAGAATTATTATGGCTATACATTGGAATAAAATCTCTGGAATATGTAATTTTTTGCTCTTTTTCAGTAAGCAGTAGATTGAACTAAGTAACTGTGGACAAATTATTTTCTTTCTGGCTGTTCAGATTTATTTTCTGCACATTGTTCTGATACTTTGCCTAGCTATTATAAACGCATAATAAAAATGTGGTGTTAGATTTTTTGAAGGGAACAATGTAGATGAAACTATTCTTAATTTTACACAGAGAAGGAAGAGCTAAGAAAAAATGAGGTTAAAAAAATATTAAGACAGCTTAACAGAAAAAGAAAAAAACTTTTTGCAACTCTGGCAAAAGAAAAAGAAAAGCTGATTATGTAAAGTTTCTTTGTGATTACTGAACTAAAAATCTAACCAAAAGATCAAGCTCCCTGAATTAATATATTTCTTTTTATCACACTGTAGTTAGTTTGGGGATAAATTTTTCTTTAGTTTTTTATATCACTCTGTAAAGTATTACATAATATACAAAGCCCCTCCAGTTTTTTGTTTTTTTTTTCATCTTAAAAACTGCTCTGTGAAAGTGTTACTTAGTTCAGTGGCTCCCAAACCTTGCTGGGCCAAGGAATCACCTGAAGATCTTTAAAAACTGTGGGGCCTGGCTTCTTTACCTGAACTTTCCAATTTAATCCATATGGAGAGGGATCTGGGGGGTGGGGTATCTAAACAACTCTGCAGGTGATTCTGATGTGCAACAAAGTTTGGGAACCACTGAGTTATTTTTCTACATTTAGAGGCAGATTAGATGATTTGTGAACGATCACCCAGCTAGTAAATGATGGAGTAAGAACTTGGCATAGAGGTCCTCTTTCCAAGTCAAGTGCTCTTTCATTTTGGTTCTCCTTGCATAGCTTAGACATGAAGAAATCGCTTATGAAAATACAAATTTAATGTTAGAACTGTTAGGACACCTATATTTCTCTGTGGCTTCCATTGTAATGTAATTGGCCTCTACTTCTCTTCACTAATGAGAAAACATGATGCCTAGTAGGACAGTGTATATAGAAAATTCACTCTAAAATAATTAACAGAGGGAAAAAAGTGTTGTGCCCAGACTTGTTTGAAAGCGTAAACTTAGTATTGTCTAGATCCTGCAACCTCTATTTGTATTATTTATTGTTGAGAAAAGAAAGCTCATTGTCTCCTTATTAAGATCTTGAACTCTTCCAAGTAGCAAGGCGTAAACGAGGTACAGTTTTCTGGTTTTATTTTGTAAACTTCTGCTTTTTAAAACAGAAACGAAGATCCCTGAATAGAATTATAAGACTGTCAAGTGTAAGATAGCCCCCCAAAGCATTACTCTATTGCACAAAGGCTTTGATATTGAACAGATTTTGCTTGGGTTCTAGTTTTATTATTTATTGAGTGGGTATGTCTGAGCCTTGGCTTCATTATCTGTAAAATAGGATTTAAAAGCCTGTATCTGTGCCTCCCAGAGAGTATGAAACAGAAAATCTCATGATAAATGTTACCTCTCTTCCCCATTTGAGAGAGTTAAAAGATCCTGGTGAGAATTTCAGATTAACTAGAGGAAATCAGAAGAAAAAGTGTTTTGTGAAAGTTTAGTGCTAGCATGTAGCTGTTATATCCAAATATATGTATATTTACCCCAAATCTCCATAAAAATATGTAATATTAAGGATAGCTAGAGGTCAAGAGTTTGCTAGCTATTTCCTTTGAAACATTTTTTCAAATTATATTATTTTTATAATAAAACTATAAAACATAAAAAGAAACAAAGGAAATTTTCCTTTCAAAGTAAGTACAACTGCAACAAGCTTTTATTAAACAACTTGAAGGACTTTCTTGACCCTAAGTCATTTGTTTAAGTGAATAAAAAACTCAAGTGTATTTTGATTATGATAAACATATTTTAGCATAAAAGCTCAACTGTCATAATTAAACAAGTGTAGGTTTTTAAAAACCATTATGACCTAACTTTCAGTGCTTAGAAAGTCAAATTTACTCTGAGTTAGAAGTTAACACAATTGCTTTTGACTGAATTGCCTTCTGTGCCCTTGGCAAAATTCATATATTTCACAACTTACTTCCAAAGCAGCTTAAATCAAAATAGCATGTGCTTTATTTTATGAAAAATGCAAAGACAGCTAGTTTTTCTTTTTTGAGTTTTATGAGAAATTTTCCAAAAGATGAAAAGCCAAATGGCTAATATCTTCATAGCTATTATTGTTCATAAATATAATTTTGTCACAATTCATGGTTTTTCAATCCATCTTTGTCTATGAACAGAAATAGTTGTTATATGAGATTCTACAATATTTTGTTATTATTAAATCTAAATTTAAACCAGAATAGACTTACTAAAACCCAGGTAGTTGAGTTTAAATGGACTATTTCCCTTAGGAAAAAAAGGAGACTTTCAAATTGAAGGTTACAATATAAAGGTCACAATATTAAGTTTGCTTACGTGTGTAAGTAATTATTTTCCACCTTGGCATTTTGAAATTTAAGAACTGTGGAAAAGATAGATGAGCTGACCAATTACTTTGCTGAATTACTGAAACTATTATGTTTAGGAAGATGTTAAGACAGAATTACTTTAAAAAAATCAGCAACAAATTTGATCCCATCTAAAGTCACATTGTAGGAAGTCCTTTGTAATTTTTTACAGCAGCTTAAATCTCATGTTCTTATTCTCATAGTAATATTTTTACTTTTCCTGATTGATAGTTAATTTGGGAATTTTACAGCTGTGTAAACACATTAGAGTGAGTAAGTTATGTCTGGTATGTGTGAAGCATGTCTGTGTTAAGAGTGATTTAAACACTATTAATATTTGCAAGTAAATTGAATAAATAGGTTAGACAGTTTATGCATTTAATATTTTAGTTATAAATGCATGACTCATAGCCTATTCTGACTTAATAAAATACCCTGAATGAAGATAAATTATATCCTATGATTCTTTCCAAGCATCAGTGGATCAATTTAAAAAATAGCCACTCTGTGTTTTTAGCTATAAGTAGTTAATCTTAGCCTTTGGGTTTTCTCATTTTGCATGGGAGAAATGCAGAGATTTCACAAAATTAGGCCATAGCTGGGTAGAAGCATTTGAGTCCAGTGGGCTGCAAGTGAATATATAATTTGGTTTTGATTAGTTTAAATATACCATAATCTGATCAATTCACTATAAAAGTAAATTTTAACAATCCAAGATCTGAGGAACTTTAACAGCAAAAATCTGAACAGAATTAACTTTCCAACTTAGATATGAAAACCAAAACAAGTGATAAGTCCAAGGTTAGGTTTTATGCCTTTTGACCCTTAGTTGCCTGACTCAACCTGGCATCTCCAATCAAAACAAAATAATCATTACATCGATATATGAAATTTCATGTCCTGATCTAAAGAGTTCCATTGCAGGAACCCCTTCTCATTGTATATTTACTGCTTTTCTTCCCAGTCATAACTTGCTGATTTGTGTACATGATTCTTTGAACCACTGGGGCATTGACATGGTTCAAACATACTCAGAAGATTCAACCTCTCTTTTTCTCCCAACATTCCTTTCTGTTTATCTCATTTATCTTAAGAGACTCTACCCCAGACATCAGAGTTTCCCTAGGTTCAGAGCTTCCTTTGACTTCAAAGAGCCCTGGGTGGTCAGATCAGGTTTGAAGTACATGAAGGGAGAAAGGGAAAAAAAAAAAGTTCTGTTACTTGGTAAATGCTGCATTATGCTCCACGCAAGGAACTGAGCATTCAGCGTCTAAATGTGGAATCCAGCCCTTGTTTACGGCAAAGGGGAAAGAACATCCTAGTCAGATAGAATACCCAGAGTACATTTGCCCATCAAGAATACCTGGTTCTCTGAGCTGTGAGATCGCAGTACCTCAGGATGTTGTATCATCCAGGAATTAAATACGACATAAATATTAGAGTTTTTCCCCTCAAAAATCAATAGCACATTTTGTTGAGAGAATATCTTCTCAAGATTGAATTCAGAGAAATTGAGAAATTTGTGTGTATGGCTGACATCTCTGACAGAACAGGAAAGTTTGGTAGAAGTGATAAAAGGTTTTTGAAAAGAAAATCTCAGCTGTGATTATTCTACAGGAACCTGTATCTAGCTATGCAACTAAAATAACTGAATATTTCTTAAGAAATCTGTGATTTTGAAATGCCAATATATTGCCAGTATTAAACCAACAGAGTAAATCATGACAAGGTGGAAATAGAGGTAGAATGATATAGAAATAAATGATTTTTGATGGGCTATTTTGCTGTCTGGGTTTGAGAAGGAAAAAATAGGAAAGTTAGTAATAAAGTCAAATTCCTTGGAACTAAAGGAAATAAATATAAATATCTTCAAATTTTGAATAAAGTCAATTATTTCCTATTATAAAGTGAAATTTTCTTGTCCTTATTTCTCTGAGTCCCTAAACAGTGGGCAAAATTTTCACCTCTAGCTTAGGGATAATGAAATGTCTTGCTTAAAGTTTTTATCTTTGTGAGTTTTTTCAGTTCTGTACCTTCTTACAGCACATGCATGCTGAGTTGCTCAGTCATGTCCGACTCTCTGCGACGCTATGGACTGTAGCCTGCCAAGCTTTCCTATTTATAGGGTTTTA